GTTCTCTAAAGACAACCGAGGTAAATGGAATGAGAATGGAAAAAAAATGAAAGACTGAGCATTTGGAGAAAACTAAGCAGACAAACAGAGGTAGAAAGATAGACAAGAGGAGAGTCCTCTCCTTCACTAGGTTATTCCTTCCTGAACACATACAGAAATGGCACTGAACAACTTTGGGAAGGGCTTTCTGCTCACCTGGCAAGAGGCTGCTGGGCATGGGGACAACTGAAAGCTGTTCCTGAAGTATATCCCCATAGTTTCTGAAGGCTTTCAAAGAACTTGTTTCCTCCTGCTACTCAACCATGTGTATTCCTCATGGGTGGGACAGGGAGGGGACCTCTCTTAAAAAAGTTTTAGACTCTTGAAGGTCACCTCAAACACTGAAGGCAATGACACAAGTAAATGTGGTTTTGGCCTCATCCAAAGGAACCAGCAGAGAGAGCAGCAAACCTCACTGCTTCCTGTGGTACCAAGGAAGTACTCCCTTGTGAAAACAGGAGACTCTGTATACCCAGAACATCTCAGCCCATAGTGTGACTTGAGCCCCACCGGATGCCTAAGTCCTTTTCATAGCTATCCTCCTGCAATGGATGCAGGGCTCTGGGGTGGGGGCAGGGGAAAGGCCACTCTTCCCAAGCACTGTCCTAGGAAATGCAACCTGTTGTGCATGAGCACGTCACCCCCTATCCCAAACAAAGAGCAGCTGGGAGAAAATCTCTACCCCTAAATGTAGATTTATTAACACTCAGCACCAGGAAAGTCAAGGTCAAGGGTTAAAGCTCGCCTTTATCCATCACCTCCTGATATGACCTTGGTGGGGCTTTTTGCAAAGGGCAGGGACAGTTGACGCCGTAATGAGCTGCTCTTCCCAGGAGACCCAGCATGATGAAAAAATACAGAACATCCACTTTCATGTACCAGTGCAAGAATACAGGTTTGATGGGTAATAAGTTTCCCATTAAAAATACATGGGAACTTACCTCAGAGACAGAGAGTAGACACCACAGGATAAAGTCTGCTCAGCCAGCTTTTAATGTAAGCAATTACATCCATGTATTTGAGGCTTTCCTTCCTCATTCTTCTCCAAAGAAAACAGGTTCATTTCATGGAGGAAAACTAGAATGAAAAATAAATTCACAACTGCTGTTCTTTAATATTGAGTCAATTACATTTTGATATTTGAATGACAGCATTTTTAATACCATATTAATACTAGCTTACGTGCAGGTATAGGAGCTACTTTTGGGAATGCAATGTTTTCTAAATTCTGAGGAAATTAAGAGTTTCTAAAAAAACAAGGAAAATGCAATTTGGGTGGTCACTGAGGCCATTAATTTTAATGAATTAGCCAATATATTGAATCATACAAGGAAGAAACGAATGCTGTTTTATCCTGAGGAACTACTGAGGTATTTATTCATCTCTCAATCAAGAGCAGATGTCACCAGTTTTGTTGTTTGTCTGAACTTAAGTTCAAAACACAGTAAACAATCTACTCTTCAGTGCTCTCCTCTTTTTCCTGTCCCCTCTCACTCCCTCAAACATACATGGAGAACCTGTAGCAGTTTTCTCAGTGGAGCTATGGAGTTTACTCAGGATCTGTAGTTCCGCACTTGAATGCCAATCCCATATTCATAACCGATGCAATATGAATCATGGATATTTGCAGCAGACAAAATGTTCTCTTCTGCTCCACTGTTGGTCCTCTGTTACTACTGATACTGACACAGAGCCTTTATATTTATGCAGGTAAGGACTGGGATGAGGCCAAGTCGGGGAACACTTCAAGCTGGAACACCGCCACGAGGGATGAGGGCACAAAGACTGCATGTATAAACCAGTTTACACCCCTGTTTCCTAACAGACTTCATCCAGCAGGATTACATTTTTCTCACGTGTGAACATCGCACATTTTACCTTCTGCACAGTGCAGCATCTTCTGAGGTGAAGTTAGGGATGCAGATAGAGTTCAAGGAAAGAGAGCTGCTTTGGAGTACCCAGCTCATCATATCTTTAAAGGTGCCCAACAAGTTCAAAGCAGACACTGTAAAAACCAGCTCTTTTAAAATTGTCTCCAGCTGGGGACCAAAAGACAAAGGAACCATAGTCACCACCATTTGTTAAAACTTTGCCCTTGGTTTAAAGAGCTGAACTGAGAACATGGTATTGTGTGAACCATAACAGCCTCAAACATGGAGCAGACCTGGACCTGCAGTACACCAAGCAAATGGACAGAGATGCAGGGCCAGACACTTCCCCACCTTCTTCCAGCAGCAGCACTGGTGAAAGCAAAGGCTCAAAACATCTGCCACAAGACGCACTCACTCCCATCCCAGGGACTACCACACCAGTTAGTATAAAAGAACATTAGACAACCTAGTCAAGAGCCCTGGGTCAACAGGGACTAAATCTCAGCTAGATCTAAAGCTGGGTAGATTTGGACAAACTGCTCTTTAGCTTTTGAGCCTTTTTGCTCACTCTGCCTTTCACTCTGTCCTTCTGGGAGGTAGCCACGGCAGGCTACTGTCATGGCACTGGGCTGTGTTCCCCACCACTCACAGAAGCTGCAGGGAACTGACACAGGGGTGCTCTTTTGGTAGCACTCACCAGTGCCGAGCCCTGCTAGGATAGGCTTTGGATTCAAATGACATTAGACTGCAAAATCCTTTGATGTCTCTCTGGGCACCTTCTGTATTGTTTAGGCAAAGTGCTTCCCTCAGAGCACTCTGTTCTTTCCCAATGTTGCATTTGTAAGAAGACTTTCTTTACCCAGAAGCAGCAGACACTCCCTCTGCTCCACCCTTCCCTGTCCTCCTCCCTGCCCCCATAAAACTCTTATTTAAAACCAGGAAAAATTACTCTGGCAAACAATCTTCCTCCACCCTCCCTGCTATCTGTTTAAATATCCTGGACTGCAAGACATTCAGTACAGTCATCAATTTTTAATTCATTTAATCTCTTGGTAGCAGTGTCCTCGTGAACTGAAGGGCCCCTAAGGAAGCTTCAGAGAAACCTCAGACTAGCATCTTTGCCTGGATCAGGGATGAGATTTTGTGGATAGACTGGGCTCCTTGTAACCTTATGGGTTAATGGGGTAAAAAATACTGAAACCTGGGTATCTTTCAACCCCAGCCAAATCAAAACACACTGTAAACCAGAGCTCTGTACCCTGATACAGCACACAGTGAAACAAGCACCAGGGAGAGAATTCCCTGCATCAGAGTTGTTCATGATTCAGCAAACTTGGGAAGGAGCCCTCTGAGTAAACATGTGGGTTGTCTGCACTCCTGGTCCCTCTACTGCTTCATTCTTGTTCCAAGAAGATCAGAGAACAACCTAATACACTGTCAGTAATTAAATTCTGCCTGCTTAAATGCCCTGGAAGTCTCAAGAGGGAATAGTTTTTCTTTTCAAGCCTGTAAGTGTGTGGGAAGATAATACTGTGTATATCGGCATTGCTTTCCAAAAGGGAGTGAGCAAAATGGTACCTGCATACAATGTGAATGTTAATGGGTTCTGCAGGAGCTTTAGGGCAGGGAGCAAGAGGATTCTTGGTTATATTCAATCATGTCATATAATGGTAGCACCCAAAGGCCCCTGTTGTACTGGAGTGTTGCATGAAAGAGCAAATCCCTGTCCCCAGCACCTTATAATCTAATGAAACAGGTTAAAAAAATGACCTATTGCTCCACTTCTGTGACAGCAAGAAATGATGCAATTTATCCGAACCTGAGCTTTCTCATCATTGGATGTGTAAGGACTACAGTTCTATGAAGAGGCTTTAGGAAGGGGAAACAGGTTTGATCACATTAGGTATGACAACGAACTTAATGCATAGGTACTGCCACATCACCTCTGTATCATTCAAGCAACACAAAGGGTGCATGCATGCATAGCTCTGGATATCCAAAGTGAGTGCTGTGTGCTGCTGGCTATCACAGACAAATGCAGTGCTAACAAGGGTGGCAAGAGAAAGAAGCCTAAAACCTTCAGCCTCTCTTCACACCCCTCTCATTCCTTCTGCCTAATAGAGATCCCTGTCCAGTATTTTGTTGCCTATAACACCTGGCAGGCTGCTCTTATGGATGTGCATGGCCCAGTCCTGCTTGGCTTCTGGAGGTCAACAATGAATAGTTAATACAAGCAGACTCAGTTCTAAAGAGACTGTGACTTGTTACACTAAATCACACAACATAACTTTCTGTCTTTCCACGTGTGCCTCAAGGTAACAGGCAGGCTCCTACTGTAATGACAGACAGCACAAGAAGAGGAGGCACTACGGCACAGAGCTGCTCAGTAAATGAATGTTTTTCTCAGACTCCTTAAGATCATGCAATACTTAGAACATTTAGGGGCCTATTTTTCCAAAAACAATGACTAGAAAGTCGTGATGCAGGACATGGCCTCAGTGTTTAGCACTAAAGCCCTTGTCATGACCCCCTCTGGTAGAGCTGCAGCTCAGAGAGACACATGGATGCTGGGACAATTTGCATAGTTACTATTTCTTGCAGAGACTTCCCCTAATTTTTGATGCCTTTTTCTAATCAGGTTATTTGTCATTTGCCAGCAGCAACCCCTGATTCTTTGCCTGTGAACCTCCTGCTCTGTTTCACACTATTAAGAACATTATTTTCCATTCTCCTGTCAGTGGAGAGTGCTGGTGATTAGCACTGCAATATCTGGTCCCCTTTATTGAAAATGTTAATCCTTCCTTTTGCAGGCTTTCTTTAGCCAGGGGTGTTAATACTTGGTTAATAGAATCAGGCTGCTTTTTTCTTCATCTTTTGTGTGCATGTGTGTTAGGGACGGATTTTTTTTTTTAATCTTTTGGTCAGAATTTATTACAGTCTCTCTTTTGATTCTTTATTTGTTTGTTTTTTTTTTCTCCAGAGGGGCTGCTTTGAATTTTCTTGGTTTTTTTTGCCATTGCTATCTTAATGTTTTTCTTACATTTAGCACCCAGAACACTCATTGTTCTGTGTCTTTTCTGGTTTCTGCAGTCTTTAAAGGGTGCTTAAGAGTGTGTCCTTGAAGGAGGAGTTATCTATGTTCATCAGCACCCATCCATACCTCAGTAGGAAGAGGACTGAGAACTGGGAGCCTTCCCTCACCTGCTGCATAGATAAGGCTTTCTTTGGCACTCCACAAGCCTTCCTTCAACCTGAAGACCCTTTCAGCATTTGGATGGTAAATGGCATCAAAGATCACCACCCACCACTCATAAGACATTCTTCCATGGTGAAAGCATAATGTGAAGCATGGGTCACCTCTTGTAACTTCAGGGATCATGGATTCTGTCCCAGGTGTAAAGGTGAGGCTGCCAAGGTCAAAATGCAGACAGCAGAAGGCTGTAGGATGAAGTGCAGGCAGTTTTGTGTCATGTTACAGTGGTATAGTCTTTTAATGCTAATCAGTTCAGTGAAAAATCCTCTTGTTTTGATGTGAATAGCACAGATCCTATCTCCAGCAAATTAGTGTTGTGATGACTTTCTCTAAAAGGAAAGTCATCACCTGGAGCAATGTAATCACCAAAGGAAGAAAAGTGCCAAGTCATCTGAAGCTTTGTCTCTCCTGATTGCAATCATATTTTATACTCAAGTAAAGAGAAACTGCTGTGACAATGGAGCAAGGAAGCAGTGGCTGTTCAACATCCATCTATTGTGGATATGGAACTGCGAAGCCATTTTCAAGGCAGCCTCTGTACACAGATGTTCACTCACTGGAGATAATTTCAGCAGGCACACCTAGAGCTTTATGGGACTGTGGGAACTGATTGATTCCCCTTCCTCCATCTAATCAGCCACCCAGTCAGGCAGCTGAGGCAGCCAGGAGCAATGGGAGGACGCTGCACGATTTCCTTCATCTTCTAAATGCAAAAGTATGAGGTTGTCAGAGTTGTCATGTTAGTCCTTCCTTCTAAATTCCCATTAATGTGTCTTAAAAATATGACATCCCCGCACATGGAAAGGTGGTAACGTGCTGCTCAGGTGCACAGCCCCTGGCCTCTGACCCACCTGGGAAGGCAACGAGCTGCTTAAGACCCCTACACCCCTTTGATGGCCCTCCAGGAGCCTGCAGAAGATGCCATCCAGTGGCAGCAAGGTAACATTACAAGAGCAGCCAATAAAACCGGCCCTTGACACCATCCTTGACAAAAAGTTGTATCTGGTCGTGACTTAACTGCATAATCAAAACTCCCAGGATGTCTGTGGGCTGTGGTGAAGACTTGAGTGACACCCATCTCTAATTATGTTAATTGGACGGCTTCTTTTTCCTCTGCAGAAACCCTTATGCTTTTGTTTGCAGGGAATAAATAAAGAGGGATTAGTTACATTTATCTGTGTTTTCCTAACTGTTATGTGTAATTAAATAATTTGACTGCCCTTGACCAATCTGATAGCAAATTACCAGACATTTCTTAGGAGGTTGCATTACCTTTCAAGAACAGATTATATGGATCTGGAATTTTTTTTTTTTATTTTTTTTTTGACAGGAACAACTAGAAATAATGGTCTTAAGGAGGTGAAAATTCGGTGTACTTTGACAAGCTGTCTTTGCCTAGCAGCATTGCTTGGCTATATGTCTGTTTTCTCCACAAAGGCTCTGCACTGAGCCAGCTGCATAGCGAGTCTTTTCGCTCGTAGCTTTCCCTTGCTCAGTGTCAAACATGCGCTGGTAGGATATATCAGGTAGTCTTTGTTAAGCAATATCGTCCTGGATTTTCTCTCTGTGATCCAGTTCACTGATATGTAAATAATTCACACTCTTCAAGGATCCAGCTTAACTGCTTCCCCTGTGCTTTGCTGACTCTCAAATCACTAATCCATACACCCTCTTCCTAGAATCTGCTTCCAGAGAGGTTTCCCATATAATTGTCACCACAGATTGATGAGTTTCTCTTCAGGAGCCATGAAGCATTGATGTGCGGAGAAAACGTAATACCTTCCTGTCTTAAAATAGATTCCTTTATCCAAGATACAGATACCATTTAAATACTTAGAATGCACTTTATAGAGCATGCTAGACCCTTAAAGATCCCCAGGGAATACCTTCTCCCTGAAACAGAGACCAGATACTCCACCTTAAAATTTGCTAATCTTATTCCACCTTTGTTTTTTAGGTATATGTTAATTTAATATAATCACATAACCGTGCTTCATATGAAATAAACACACCACTCTGTCAACAGGTTTGGAAGTACATCTGCAGCTCCTGAAAAATGGCAAAGGAAAAAATCTTCCAAAGAAACACTGCATTGATGCATTTGCCAAGAGGCCTGGCCAGAATTGGTTACAGCTCTAGAAAGTGTGGTATCTAGGCTAGGCCATCAAAACTGAAAGGCAGCAAGTAATAAAGGGTGGGTGTTAATGTCTTCCCCTGGGAACTAGCGCATGGGGTGGAAAGTGAAACTCTTTCACTAAGCCCCACTGTGTAGCTTTGTCTTCCAAACACACTGGGGAAAATAAGGGGAGGAGATTCAATAAGTGCATCTAGGAGAAACTTGGGATACAGCCATGAGTCGTGATCTGGACAGTGCCAAGATAACAGGCAGCAGAGAGAGGAGGGGTTGCTTCCAACATAAGTTTTGTGAGATGCTATCCCTGCCAAATCCTCCTCCCAACCCTGTAAGTAAGCCATAATTGGCTACATCTTTTTTAGTACATGCAAAACCTTTGTTCCCAGAAATTTGAATAGTTGTGATATTTTTGTTCCTTGAGGAAACCTAAGTGGATTTCCTCAGAGAAGTAAGCTGCAGTCAGGCTCAGGTGCCAGTGCACAGACATTTTGGGTATTCTTGGTCAAGGTGGGCATGGGGCACCTGCAGGTACATGAAGCAAACTGGTCTAGCTTCCTGGGACATGGTATTTCAGGGTTTGTTTCTCTGCTGACCTGGCCTAGCACACAGGCAGCAGAATATGCCCCAGGGAAGGCAGCTTCTTTCAACAGGAGAAGTGGGAGAAGGTGGGGGTCCCCCAGCCCAGTCTGGGGTAGCCTCAGCAGCAATCTGAGCTGAAGCACTGGTTACCCAATGCTTTGGGTGAGGTTTACCATGGGAGGGTGATCTGACCCTTCCTTCTCTCTGGCATGGTTGAAGGGCAGTCCTCCCCACTCCTCTCCTCCTCCTCCTGCTTGCACTTGGACCTGTGTCTGGCTGCTTCCTTCAAGCCAGCTCTGACTCAATCTGCCCTTGGTGAACTGATGCAGCTCACTAAACTGGCTGAAAGATAAATATGTCTGTGAGGAAAACGGGCAGGACACACTCTCAGGGACAGGGAGAGGCATTTCTTCAGGCTGTGAGAGTGGCCAGCCTTGACCAATCCTTCAGGTAAAAGGAGGGACAAGCAAACAGGGCTCTTGCACAGACTAACTTCATTGAGGTTACATGCCCTGCGCCCTACCTGCATCCAGGTTGGCAGCTAGAAGCCACCAGGGACCTTCAGCTGCCCCGCACACAGCAGACCACCTTCAGCATGAAGGCACCTCGTCTCCTCTCTTCCATATCCCACATGCAGCATCACAAGTCCTTACAGCTTGCCAGAAGTCCACCAACAGCAACTGTAATTGTGCCACCTCAGCTTGAAGAGAAATACCCAAGTTTACTGCCACTGAGATGTATGCAAGGGTTTCATACATGCCCCTGGGGGAGGATGTAAGTTATTTGGTTTATTTCAGGAGTTTCTGTAGTACTGGCCTAGCCTTTGTCAGAACCACAAACCCCATAGATCGCAATATTAGATACATTGTCCTTTTTCATCAAAGGGAGCTCAAACTCAGTTCAGTTTCTTTCTTCTCTGCCATGGGGAGATGCAAAACTTGTTTCTTTGGTAGCCCAGTCACTACATCTTTGTTCTGTTTGAACAAAGCAAAATACGAAGAATCCTGAAGAAGCAAACAACCACATTTAAACTATTTTCATATTCTTGTGACAAAGAACAAGCATGTCAGAAATCTTTTGCTTTTTTTTCCCTTGGAACCTGCCGTTTTATTATGTAGTCACTTCTTAAAACAGCATAAAAAAAATAAAAAGCTGTCACTTCATTTCTCTTTTAAATTGGAATATGGCGGGGAGAATCATACAACAGAAAAGTTCATTTCCCTAAATGGTCTTTTACAACCATCAGCATGGCCATTTAGAGCGGACACTGCCCTTTCAGGTCTTTGGGTCTTGGCCAGTTCACTGTAGAGAAAGAAATCCCAGCATGTCTGGATTCCTTGCAACAGTTTTTCTGAATGGCTGCTCCTGATGTTTTGTGGCTGCTGCCCCACGGTTCACTGGTGAGCACTGGTATTCCATGAGTTGCTCAGCTGCTCCTAAGCTCTGCATGCTCAGCTTGGGCAGCCTGGCAGTCTTTCATGAGCACTGTGCAATGCTCTGGTCTCCTGTGTGCACGCTTGCCCTGACATCAGACATTGACTGCATCCCCAGCATGCAAGCTGGTGCGGCAACGGCATCAGCCGTGGATCCCCTGTGCGTTGCTCCTCTCATCTCTGAACCCAGCCAGTTGTTCTCCTCAGCCAGCAGTCCCTCTTACAGTGACAGGCATAGGGTGTCACTGCACCCCAGGTTCTCGTCATTGCTTGGCCTGGCCACTTCTCCCCAGGCAGTATTTCACAAAGATGCCAAACCTTGCATGATCCCACTGTGTGGGCTTCATCCTCTGCTCCCCTCACAGTGGGAAAGGTTGACCATCACTGAAGCACAGCTCTGCTAGGAGCTTGAGTATAAACATAGCTTACACTAGTCAAAAACATTCACTGTGCTTCTCATCCTTATCACACAGACTTTCTTTCCTCGGCTGCCTGAGAGCCTCATGGAGCACAGCAGTTAAGCTTTACTTAGTCCCTGTGTCTCCACACTTCCACTGAAAAGTTCCCAAGCTGGAAAGATGCTGTGGAGCAGCTCTTTCTCTCCAGACACCTAACGTGGGTCTCTTGACCTCATTATAGTGGAATAGAGGCCATCTACAACAGATTTTTCTTGGACTGATTGATGACTCTGAGGAAACTCTTGCTGTAACACTTTTTTCACATTGAATTTTTAACAGATTTAGAAACAATTCTATGTTATTCAGAGATGTATCCTCATTCCTTCTGAAATCCTGGAGTGCTTGAGGACAGCTTCTAATCTGGAGGGCTGCAGAGAGCGCAGCCACTCTCCTGGTTTTGAGTTTTCAGCTGGTGCAAGGATCAGGAACAAACAAAATGGATAAACACTGAGTTGTGTGCTTGCTGACTGAGCCTCTCTCCTATTTACAGACAGTTCTATCTTTGCAAGGGTTTTGCCCTTGAAATAGGTGCTTCACTCTAGTATTTTTAATGAGTATTTATTACAATAGTTGTATTTGTCGGTCCCTTGTATGTACTGGGCACTGTGGAGACTCAACATAGAGAAAGGAGGTGACTGGCTGAATTCCTGGTGAAAGATCAAATACTGGTCTCCTAAACCCAGAACACCTCATTTAGTTCTTCAGCTTTTCTTACATGGCAGCACCTATTTTATTTTACATGGTGCCAACAAGACACTTAGAAATTTCCTGGACTTAATAACCCCTTCTTACGTTGGCAGCTTGGCAAGAACAGCTTTCTCTGAAATCTCCCAAATCAATTGACTTTGCCAAGTCTTTTGCTTAACAAATCCTTTAGTTCCTTCCAGCGTTTTCCCACAAGTGATACAGAATTAATGGTTTTGTAGTCCCCTGGTGGGTCTCTTGGCCTTGTGTTGTCTTATTAGACACACCCTGGCCTGCTGGGAGACATGTACTGCATTGAAAAAGATGCTGGATGAGTTTCATTTCATGTCCCGCTTTCTTATTGCATTCTGGGGCTGGTGAATGTCAGAATGTTACAACAAATCTGGATAAGATTCAGACGCTCAAAGTCCCTCAGCATAGGCGTCTTACTTCGTGATTAATCCAGTGTCCTACATGTCCTATGAAGTCAACGCATGCTATTCCAAATCTGCCTTGTGTTTAAGATCTTGGCCCAAATTCAAAAGAGTGTACCCTTAAAATATATTTGGTGCTTAATTGTACATGCAAAAATGTCCAAAAGAGCAATTTAAGGACCCAGCAAATCTAACTTTATGCCTCTGTCAAATGATCCAAAGCAGTATATGAAATCATTATATTTTTAAGCAATGGTATTTTGAGCACACAGCTGCTTTCCGAATGCTGTTTTCTCTGTCATATGTTTACAGTAACTGTCCTTAAACAACAGACTTTTCTTAGAAAGAACAGCAACAAGCAGGGTTTTGTTCTTTTTCTAAACAGTTTCAGCTCAATTTCTGCCTTGTATTAGAAACTGTTTCCTTTCCAGGTATCTCAGTAAATCCCATAA